AAATAAATAATCTGATTCGACTGAGGATCTTCTTGCCTCATTACTCGAGCCATCACCTTGTAGGTAGCAGCCCTAATTTCCTGTTGGTCATCTTATCAACTAAATGCTTATAAACTACTTTAAACAATAGTGCCCACCTTACAAATGAGCCACAGAAAGCGGATAACCAAAAAGAAACATAGGAAAGAGTAAATTGCTTGAGAGTGAGACGGTAAACCTAACCAGCTTCTACTGAAACAAAAAAGAAGAGCTGATACTGAAGAAAATTAGGAGGTGAGGAGACAGAGAGGTAAATTCTTTGGGACTTCCCTTGTTGTTTTTCATTAACATTCCAGAGGTAGGTGTTGATGGACAGAGGCTGAGCTGAGAGGGTCAGATTAACAACACACACACACACACACACCACACACACACACACACACACACACACCACAACACACACACACACACACACACACACACACACACACACACACACACCACACACACAACACAACACACAGAGGGGACGAACTGGCGTGGGAAACATAACCACACACAATGTAACCCTGCACACCTTATCAATCAGGTCAATTGATTATACAAGGAGAGACAAAAGCCTTTCAGCGGTGTCCTTTCCACTCTTTCTTGGTTGCTGACCATTAGCAGCCTGATATTTGACATGTCCGAGTGCCTTTGAGCTGTGTGGGGTAAATATACGTGGTGGGAGGAACGAAGGCCTATGTCTATTTAATGAACAACTCAGAGCAATGAGCAATACAAAGGTGGGCTGAATCCTCTCCGTCTATGTCAAATGCTGAATCCCAGGGCTTCTGAAGTGGAACTTGCTTTCCAGGAGAAAACCCTGTTCCTTTATAACTGTCTCTTGCAGCCAGAAAATATGTGTTTTCTACAGTCTACATATAGGAATCGAACTTTTTGCATTCCTAAAACTAAATGCATTACATTATGGGATATAACAATTATGCTATTTTTATCTTTCGAATTGTCAATAAAATGACATAAGACAGTGAACAATGCCATAAATAACTC